TCCTTTAGAAATAAAAAATAAATTAGATATTGATTAGAAAGTTTTCGACTTTGTTATGCCGTGTTTAGTGCCTTATTTCTTTCTGTTTAACCAGTTTTATTTAAAAAAATATATCTATTTTTTCATAATTTTCAAACAAAAATACACATCATTAAACTTAAGTATCTTAAGATATTTTTGGTTTCCATTACAATCTTTCTTATAGTGATGGAGCATCCCGCAAAAAAAAGGAATTAATTATGCCAAAAAAATATAGCAAAAACAATTTTTTAACAATTTCATCACCCAGAAATTGAAAAAATATATTTAGACTTTAACTTAGCATGATATTATAGATATTATAAGGTTGTATATAAACCAAATATTATTCCATGCTTTTTACTTACATGCAGATGTTACTTACAATATTTCAAAAATGACAAACAGAAAATATTCAAATATTCACATCAGCGTAAAAACCGGGGCGGCAAAATTATATATTGCTTGAGGCAACAACATTTTTTCAGCCGGCTCTGGGCGTAGATAATGTCACATATTCGACATTATCACCTCAGGTCAAGCTCAGATAAACGCATTTTAAATCAATAACTTCGAAGAAAAGATTGTCAATAATTGCGGCAATTAAAACAAAAACACATAGGGTGCTTAGTAACAAATTTGTGACCGATTAACTTGCTTTAATATAAAAGTTGTGGAAACAAAACACAGGAAAAAAAAATTAATTGTTCATTTTCAATTTAAAGAGTAGGTAGGTAGGTGTAAAATTTGTTGGGACAGGAAATAAATCTGTCTACACTTTTCTTTATCCAGATTTTTCACTTACTAGTCGCCCAAATGTCATCAATATATGCTACGATAAAAATTGAGGAGAGTAGTTAAAAATGACATTTTGTCAAAAAACGGTTCGTTTCCAAGATTGTAATTTAAAATATTTAAAATATCTAAAATATTTAAAATATTTAAAATATTTAAAATATTTAAAATATTTGCTAAGGCCGACTTGCATCATCAGGTAAAACTTCTTATAAAAACAAAAAGCCAATGACGAACAATCTTCATTTTCCTGAACCATTCGTAAAAATTAAATGTTACACCCTGTGTACAGCAGAAATAATGACAAAACAATGTCATTGATTTTTACCCATAAAATGTAGAACAGAAAGTGATAAGATTTTCTTAATAGCATTCAGATTATCTCTTCAAAAGTATGAAATTATGCTATATGATATTTAAATACATATTTACTACTTATCTAAAGTATGTATGTTTTAATGTAACGGGTGTTGAAAAAGTCTGGAAACACCTGAATAATTTCCCTGGTAAATTATTTTTGAAAAATGTTAAGGTCATTCTTGTAGTAACTTCTTACGAGGAATTCAATGGTGACCTTGGATTTGACCTTGACGATGACCTTGAAGGTTATTTCAAGGTCACCTTCTTTTTTTTTAATGGAAACCCCCTTTTTCGACGTCGGCAATCGAAAGGGCGGGAAATTTTACGTCCAAAAACTCTAAGGTCATAAATTAGGGTTGACCTTGAAGGTCATTCAAAGGTTATTCAAATTTGAGGGCTGGATATCTCCGAAGGACGCAGTTGATGAAAATAGTACAAAGCTTACTTTAGTCATTCTGTTTATTTGCAATTAGTGGTGACCTCAAACTCGAGGTCACCATTGAATTCCTCGTCAAAAGTTACAACAAGAAAGACCTTAACATTTTTCAAAAATAATATATCTGGGAAATTATTCAGGTGTTTCCAAACTTTTTGGACACTATATGTAGTTGCGTTTTTTTAATAAAAAAAATTGTAACTATTATTTTCCACGTTTCCCTGTATACAAGTGGAAATTAAAAAGTCTATAATCAGTATCTCAAAATAATATTATGCACCAAATTATATTTTTTTAAAGTTTACATATGACATAAAAATAATTTTCGACCATTTCAAACAAATAATAATATGCACTTAATCTTTGCTAATTTTTGACAAATAAAATATTAAATCCATGTTACAGGATGGCTATGTTCCTACCCACAGATATAGTTATCACGCTACTGTGTTACAGAGTCAGGGAACACATTTACCATATGTTTACAATTGATGTCGGTTGACAATAAATAACATAAAACTAATCTAATGTTCATCTAGATATGTTCGAAAGAAGAATTAATAAGACATAATCACTGATAGTTTTTCAGAAACTAAAATCTAAAAATCAATTCTAACCAAAATTGGTAGCAAGACGAAACCTTAGCTTCAAAAAATATAAACACTAATGTAGTTTTATTGAGATACAAAGTTTTTCCGTTTCGCCCACCCTTTCTGTTTTACCCGCTTTTGCTTACTTGTTGCTTATCGCTAAAATGCGTTGACAAAAATCGATTTCAATTTTCTACAGCAGTTAGCAGTTTATAAATTTATAACCAATTTAAATATATTTTGGACTGACTTACCTCTATTAAAAAGTCAATGTCTTCTGAATTATAGGTAGCTCTAAATGGAGTCTAGAGACAAAGCTTCGATGCTCCCCGCATACGTGTTTTTTATGTGACATATAGAACAGAAATAACTTTAATGGAATCATTTTTATGATTTAGGTCTTTTTCGTACATTTTATATAAACAGAAACCTAAAATGATCTAACCTACCAATTTAATGTTTTTTTTTACTAAGAATCAAGCTTAGTCGCTATTAGGTATGACTAAACACCGACGCCAGGAGACGAGCAACCCCCAACCTGAAAATTTTGCCGAACTCCCACTTTGTCGTGGGTAGGGATCCTTGCCTAACATTGTTTATACAAGGGTCCAACGGTTTTACATCATTTCCGAGGGATGGTATGTCTTCCTCTACAAACCTCGCCTAAATTTCTGCGAATACTCTGACATACAGGCCAATAGAAGGTGGACGAGCATCGCCAGCCTTCTCCGTATGGTCACCCATCCAACATAGAAAATATAGTACTAACGTAGAATGAAATGTCCCTTATATTGCCAATAAACCGCGAAACAGCGCCACGTAACGTTTTGGAAGCTTACTACTACTTAGCTTCTAATGAGTAGGCAACACTTTACACTTTGTGAACTAATTACAGCGCCATCTATCGTATGCAAACGACTTCTCACTTATATCCTCTATATATTATTTTAAAAATTTTAAAAGTAAACCTTTATACAAATAGGAATAATCAAGGGTCAATACTTTTGGGAACAGATTATTTAGTTAAACAGAAAATGTAGCGAAAAACTAATATTCAGTACTTTTCTAATTCACTTCTGCTTTGATAACGAATCTAGAGGTTTCAGAAACGTCATAGTGTTATTGTGATGTCTATTTGTTTTTCCAGTGCGTAACCAGACTTATACACACAAAACATATAAATACTTATACATGTAGATGTATGTCTCTGGCATCTCAATATTATGCAAAAGTTTTCAGTATTGACACTTATTTATTTTTCCAGTTTCTTTTTTTCTTCAAACTATAGCAAAATTTCCAAATTTAACATTTATAATGCCACAAATAAATAGAGACAATTTCTACTTATTTCTTATTTTATTGTATTATAGTATTTTTCAAATTTTGACATTTGCCAAGATACACTTAGTAAATGGTTTTGATAAGGAAATAAAACATTTTTTAATAATTTTAAGTTTATTTTGTATCTACAGGAAATCCTAATTGATTTATACAGAATGTTGTTATGCATGTACTATTAAAACAATTTCTTGTTATGTATTTAATTGTAAGTAAAAATTACAACAATTTAATTCATTTTGCTTCATAAACTTGATAAGTTGGCAAGTAAGCTGTAAAAATATAAAAATTATGCATTAACTGTTATAATAATCACACTTTCCGGAGAGTATAACCGAATATTTGTACAATATTGGGTTAAATTCAATAGTTCATATAGTTTGGAACTCTCAAACCATAGAAAACTTAATATTAACACTATATTTTCTATGTCTCAAACTGAATAAAGAAAGCAATTCACTACAATCTATTGTACCATTAAAAATTTTGTAAGCATATCTAAGTATCAAAGGTTTCATAAAATATTAATTGGAGTTTATTATCATACACATAAGTTATGAGTGTTCCACATAATGTTGGTAAAGATATGGGTTTGGTTTTTAATAAAACTATATAGCTTAAAACTTACACATCATATTCTCAGTATAATATAATAACAAATAGAAAACTATTAAGCACTAAATAATTATAAACACAATTCTTGCAATAGTATAATTTACAATTTTCAGAGGATAACCAAAGAAACCAAAGATAACGAAAGCCAAACTTCAAATACGTGCATAGTCCAAACTGCATTACCAACCAACCCAAAATGACAGGGTTAGCATTATCTGCGCCATCTTTTATTTTGGAGGCTAATTAACGTGTGACGCCATGTCGTGGTGAAGGTGCTTGCGTGCATCAATGAGTCTGAGGGCCATGCCGACGGCAATTTGCCAGAAGGGTCTCCCATGTCGGAAGGGCCTCGGATGAGATGCTAGACTAACAGATACAGCACACACACCAACACAACACGCCACTACACTCACAACACCATACATCACGAAATACGCAACACTCAACACACACACATTATGAACACCCTTACACGTTTAGGCACGGTCATTCCAACTCCCCCACCCTTCCGCTGCGAAATACCGAGGCTGGACCCCAGTAGAGAGGTAATCTCCTGACAGTATAGAGGCCTGACAGTATAGAGGCCCACCCTTGCCTAGCCGGCGTAGGGGGCTGCCTCATCATCAGGTGTATAATCCCGGAGCGTGTAGTAGTGCCAGGTGGCGCCTGGATAAGGGCCCTGCTGCACGCTCCGGGGGGCTTCACCAGCGGCTGCCAGACCCTTCTCTCTGGGAAAACGTTCAACCATGGCTGAACAGTGGAAGCGGGGACTTGGACTTACGTGAGGTTTCATTGTACCGAGCAAAAACATCACTACAGAGAAAACACCCGTTTTTTAAAAAAGTCCCATGGAAGACAAAGAAAAGAATATCGTAAACGTACCAACAAATCAAAATATCGAGCGCCCTGGCTCAGAGAAGGATGCAATGGAGGTAGGGGGGGCAAATCCTGCCTCACCTGGTTCACCCTCGAAAGAGGAGGAACTACTAAAGTCCTCTGAAGGTGAAACCGAGGGGTCACAGGAATGTGACTCCATGGATACAGCCGACAGAGAGACCAGAAAAAAGGAAAAGAGGAGAGAGAAAAGGAATAAGGCTAGGGCAAAGAGAAGGAGGGAAGTGAGGGAGGCCAGGAAAGGGTTGCAAGGGACATCAGACCCAGCGCGCCCATCTGAGGCCCAACACTTCATGTCGGCACCAGCGGATAGCGGGCCAGGGACCAGTACCTCGAAAGAGGGGTTCGAAGGAACCAGCAACCGAGGGCCGGCAAAACCTCGAGGCCCTCAGGCAAGGCGGAAGTGGAGGGAGGACAATAGGGAAGCCAAGAGGCGGTCCTTTGTTCTTCCCACTGCTCCAGCAGCGGTCAGGGAAGGGGGGCCGGGAGGTCCGAAAGGGCAGCCAGGCCCCTCGACCCAGACCAGCCAAAAAAGGTCGAGGGCGGATAAAACAACACCGCCAGAGAGATAGAGGAAGAGGGTTAGGACCTTTCCGTCGTCTTCCGGGGGGCGCCGTCACATGTGTCTCCCTTGTTAAGAGGGAAGGCGGTGGCGGCGCCGCCGCGGAGGGCTGATGGGGGAGTACCTAAAGAAAAGAGGGAAAACCAGGTGGTCATATTATCCAATCGTGAGGATGGTATGATCACCCCCCCTGAGGGACAGAGACTGAGGGAAAATCTTGTCTCTGAGATGTTTCGGACCATGGTGAGCCCCGAAGGGGGACCTCGAGGACCGGAACTCCGTTTCAGGAACTCGGGCCTGGTAGATCCGGGCTGGTTCCTGGTGACGGCTCAGGACGAGACCTCAAGGGACTGGCTCCTGGAAGGATGGGTACCTCTGGCCGAGGGAGACGTCGCTTACCGGGCAATCCGGGCAAGTGATGCACCATGGCCAGAGAAGGTTGGTTTCTGGCTGAGAAGCCCAGAGGTCAACCTCCCCCAAGTAAGGGCGATGTTGGAACTCCAAAATCGCTCCCTAGAGGTCGCAAGATGGAAGCATCTAGAGACGACAGGAGGACCTGGGGGGTGGCATCTGACCTTTATGGTTGGCCAGGACATATCCAGGCGCCTAGAGGAGGCCGGGTGGGTCCTCTACTTCGAGTTGGTAACTCTGGCGGTGCGCCGGATGCCGACTTGGAGCGGAGCGGTCCGCCAGGCACCCAAGGCGCCGGGGGAGCCCGGGCCGACCGGGGAAGGGAAGTAAGTCCCCCCACTGCACCATCAGGCCCCAAGATGGATACATTGCAGGTGAGGCAAATTAATCTTCAGCACAGTCAGTCAGCCACCGGGGAACTGGTGAAGCTACTGACAGGTAAGACTGGAGAATTAATTTTAATCCAGGAACCCTATGTTTACAGGAATCGAGTAGTGGGGCTAGGCAGTACCGGCTACAATTGCATAGTCGGGAAGGAGGATGGAGCCGAGCCACCTCGGACCTGCATAATGGCGTCCAAGGAACTCCGAATGGTATCACTACCACAACTGGGGACCAGGGATGCCACTGCAGCCATCCTCGAATATAAGGTAAGTGGAATTAGGCGTAAGGTCATAGTTAGTAGCATATACCTCCCTTATGATACTGGTAGACTACCGCCTACTAAAGAGTTAGAAAATATAGTTAATTTTGCTAAGAATAAAGGTCTGCCTGTAATGATTGGGTGTGATGCAAATGCTCACCACACGGTATGGGGCAGCGGGGATGTTAACTCCCGTGGGGAGGCGTTGCTGGAATATATAGCAACCACAGACCTGCAGGTCATGAATAGGGGAAAGGAGCCGACTTTTGTGAACCGCATCCGGAAAGATGTGATTGACATTACGTTGGCTTCTCAAAGTATTATAGAAGGGATTTCTGGATGGAGGGTCACGGGCTGCATCTCGATGTCCGATCACAGGATGATCGCTTTCGAGATGAAGTCGGATTCGGAAACGATAACTCTCCGACGAAATCCAAGGGCAACAAACTGGGAGGTATATCGTTGTAACCTAGGGAGCTCCCTAGAAGCGAGCAACCGGGGTGAACGAATAACCTCCACAAGGCAGTTAGACAACGAAGTAGAAACCTTAAGCAGTTGCATCGTCTCGGCATATGAGGAGGCTTGCCCTCTCAGGGCGGCAGGTGGGCGCAAGGTCCGCTGGTGGAATAAGACCCTAGAGGGTCTCCGCCAGACGGCCAGGCGTGTCTTCAACCGAGCTGTCAGGGAAGGGGAAGGGACCTCTTGGGACGATTACAAAACTGCAAGGCGAGAGTTTAAGAAGGAACTTAGGCGAAGCAAGAGATCTGGCTGGAAGGCATACTGCAGTGAGCTGGAGTCCCTGCCGGAGACAGCCAGATTAATGAAGATCTTAAGCTGCGACAAAAGGGAGAAATTAGAATCATTAAAGAGGGAAGATGGGACTTGGACCACTTCCAGCGAGGAGTGTTTAGAACTTCTGCTGGAAACTCACTTTTCAGGTGGAGGCCATGTCGTCGAGGGCACCAGGGCGGAGCCAATGCCACAAGCAGATTGGCTCCTGGCCGAGGAGCTCATTGGCGACGAGGCAGTAACCTGGGCAGTGAACGAATTCGAACCCTATAAGGCAGCGGGGCCGGACGGAGTTTTCCCGTCGTTGTTGCAGAGGGGCCTGGACATTCTCTTGCCATGTATGGTGAGGGTGTTCCGGGCCAGTCTGGCGATGGGCTACGTCCCGCAGGCTTGGAGGTCAGCCAAGGTGGTCTTCATCCCCAAGGCTGGGAAGGAAGACTACACTGCGGCGAAGTCTTTTAGGCCTATCAGTCTCACATCCTTTCTGTTTAAAACGATGGAAAGGATTGTGGACAGGTATCTGGTGGATGGGTCGTTGAGTAGATACCCAATCCACACGAACCAGCACGCCTATAGGCGGGGCAGGTCCACGGAGACGGCCTTACATAGTGTCACACATAAAGTAGAGAAGGCCCTTCAGTACAAGGAGGTTGTATTGGCAATATTCTTTGACATAGAAGGTGCCTTCGACAAGGCAAAAACTGAGACCATATGCAACTCGCTCCAAGACCGGGGCACATCGCCTATCGTGGTCGAATGGGTGAGTTCCGCATTGAAGGAAAGGAAGGTTAGTGCAGTCATGGGGGACTGTCGCAGGGACCTGGGAGTGGGAGGGGGATGCCCTCAAGGCAGCTGCCTCTCCCCGCTTCTATGGTGCCTAGTAATGGACGGTCTCCTGGAACGCCTAACCTCGGAGGGATATAGTGATGCCCAGGCTTACGCCGATGATGGCGTGGTTCTAGTCGCGGGCCGGTTTTTGGATGTGGTATGCGACAGAATGCAGGGAGCCTGTAGGATCATAGAGAGGTGGTGCGAGGAGATGGGGCTCTCAGTCAACTCAAAGAAGACTGAGATGATCCTATTTACAAGGAGAAGGAAGATAGGTGATTTCAGGGCTCCAACCATGTATGGGAGGCCCCTGACTTTGGTCAGGGAAGTCAAATACTTGGGGGTAATCTTGGACAGCAAACTGTCGTGGGGGCCACAGGTTGAGAGGATTACCCGGAAATCAGTGGCAACCCTCTGGCAGTTAAGGAAGGTAGTTGGCAAAAACTGGGGACTCAATCCAAAGGTGCTTCACTGGGTGTACACGGCGGTGGTTAGGCCGAGGCTACAGTATGGGGCCTTGGTCTGGTGGCCGTGTGTGGACCGGGTGACGGTAGCCAGGAAGTTGGTGAGAATCCAGAGACTTGCCTGCTTAGGTATTACAGGGGCAATGAGGACGACCCCAACTGCCGCGTTAGAGGTCCTTCTGGGGCTGCCGACCCTTCCTACATGGATTATGAGGGAGGCGATGGCGGCATACCTTAGGATAAGGGACGCCGGCGGTTGGAGAGCTAAAGGACGCACTGAGGGCCATGCTGCCGTGGCCCTCAGGGCGGAGAGGGACATCCCAATATCCGCCATGAGGGTTACGGAAGCAGAGGACCGGCTTAGGTTAGGAAGGAAGTATGTCACCACTTTCCCCTCGAGAGAGCAGTGGAAGCAGGATGGTGATATGTTCTCCCCGGGATCCCTAGTGTGCTATACTGATGGATCTCGGGTAGAAGACGAGTTTTCAGGAGCAGGAATTTATCTGGAAGGCAGCGGCATCCAGGAAAGCTTTTCACTGGGTATGTATGCTACAGTCTTCCAGGCTGAGGTTTTTGCTATTTTGATGGTAGCAAGCAAGGAGGAGGTAAGGAATTGTGCAGAGGAGAAGATTTTTATCTGCTCCGACAGTCAGGCCGCGCTCAGAGCGGTTAGCTCCCCGAGGACTAGGTCTGCCCTTGTCCAAGAATGTGGAGACGCTCTAGAGTCTTTGGCCAGACGAAAAGAAGTAGAGTTGGTTTGGGTCCCAGGCCATAGGGGCATCCCTGGTAACGAGAGGGCGGATCAATTAGCTCGTCTTGGGTCCAGGGGACCTGGACAGGGACCTGAACCAATCTTAGGTATCACACGAGGCAGCATTAATGGGGCCCTCAATAAGTGGGCCTATCAAACTTTAGGTCTGGATTGGAGGAGAAATAGAGGATGCAGGCAGGCCCATAGTTTTATACATGGACCTAGCAAATCCAAGACAAGATGGCTGCTGAGCCTCAGTCGAAGAGCCCTAAACCAAATGGTGGGGGTTCTGACAGGCCACTGCAGACTTAGGAGGCATTTAAGCTTAATAGGAATTGAGGAGGACCCTCTATGCCCGAAATGTGGCGAAGGGGAGGACACCCCTGTCCACCTTCTGGGACAGTGTGCAGCCTTTGGGAGAATAAGACATAAAGTCTTTGGTGCTGAAGAGCTGCAAGGGGTTGAGGTGAGAGACCTTCCATGGACCAAAATCCTGGCGTTCATTAGGGCGTCGGGTAGGTTCGAGGAGGGTCAGAGGCAGAGAGTGGTTAGGTGATGGGACGGCGGGGTAGGCAAAAAGGGCCCACTTGTGGCCTAATTGCCAGGCTTTACTACTACTACTACTACTAACGTGTGACGCAATGACAGTTTCGTTATTCATATGTTACATTTCCTTCTATGTTAATATTAAGTTTTCTATGCCCATCCAAGTACTAACCGCGATCACAATGCACTAGCCTTATTAAAAATCAAGAAAAGAACACATAAAGGGAGCCTCGGAGCAACGTAAGCTGTGTCTAGGAATCGATATTTAGAGGCCTATATCTCTCAGTAGGTACTGACTTTCAAGAGGAAGTTGATGATCTAAATCGAAAAAAATAATCAATATATTTGTGATGATCACTTTTATGCTAAAAAATTATTGAAAATTTTAAATATATCAATATTTCCACTAACATTCATTTTTTGTAAAGGGATCTTGACAATTAATTTTGCGCGTCACTGGTTTTTTTGTAGCCCCCCTCCCCTCCCAGCACCCTGCGATTCGTAAACTAAGCAAGTTTATTTGAACTATCTCCCTTAATTTTCATTGTAATGTCTGAAAAGACAGTACTAAGTACATT